CGTTGAGGGCTGTAGCCTGGCAGTTGCCTGCCTTACCGAGCATCACGAATAAGACCTTCATCGAGGACTGTGTGCGTGTCCACAACAACCTCCGCACTAACGTCCAGCCAGCCGCCAGCAACATGCGGTACATGGTAGGGCCAGGCCTGTGGGTGCAGGGGTGGCTCGAGAGCCTTGCTGGGGTGGGGTGGGACAGTGGGCCAGACCTCTCTTGGTGATCCCTGGGTGAGGTGACCAGGATGGCATTTGCTGGTATGTGTTCAAATATCATCATGTTTACTTGATAGGAAATATTGTGGTGAGTTGAGTCAGTTGTAGACAGGTGAGTCTAGAAGCACCAGGCAATGCAGTGACTCAGGCCAGCTGAAGATGTTCACATTTCACCCTAAGGAATTTCTCCTTAGGAAGAAGCAATGGTCCAGCAGCAGGACTGATCCAGAAGAGGTAAAGTCTCCATCAAAAGCAAGTATACAAACTGCAATACCAGACCTGGAAGGGATTTCTGGTGGCAAGGAAGAGTCTTTTCTTGTCATAACCAGAACAAATTGCACTTGAAAATTTTTGCTGGAAGGGGTTAAACAAAACTGAAGAAGGTGCAGAAGAAGTGGGTGTTTGTTGTTTAGTTCACTTTGTACCTCAAGAGGAAAATGTTGTAAGCAATGAGCAGCTAAAGGAAGACTGACAAGGGCTTGGGAACACAGACATACTCGGATACTGATGGCAAAGAATGCCATTTGCTTGAGTGGGTGATTTTGAAGCCAGAATGGCAGATAAGGGGGTATAACCTTGGAAGTGAAGAAGCTTGTGAAAGACACCACACCCAGCTTTAGTACACAGGAATAGGAAAACCAGTAAAAATTATGGATGAAGGTATGCATGTAGAAGTATGGTTAGAAAAAACTAAAGGCCTTAGGGAGAAAACGGTATCGGTACCCAGTGGATTTATTGTAAGATCCCCATAGAGAGACTAGGAGTGAACTGAAATGCACAAACACCAATAAACCTAGGCAATAAAACACAGGATCTTTTACATAAGACATGAAACTAGGTACTTCAACGGTAGAAGAAACTTGCTGAAAAACAGTCATGACTGGAAGATAAATACTAAAAATGGTTCATGTTCAGGAATCAGAAGTTTTGTTAATGGTGTCAGACTGCAAAAAAGTAAGAGGTAGAGTGAGTTACTGGTCAAACATTGGCATGTTTACCTCATGAACCTGTGTTTGTGAAATGCTCCAATGTGTATTTAAAGCTTTACCATAGGAGGAGTAATTATTTGTTTCCAGGGGCTTAAAAATACTTAAAATAGTTAAACATCTGAATCTACAGTAGCTGTGCATTTTTACTTTGAATTAATTTTTATGTACCAAATAGAAGTCCTTTGTGACCTGTTCAATGACAACAACAAGAAGTTTCATGATTAATTAATGTGACAGTAATTTCTTGTCTGAAGATAAAAGTGCATTTCATTTTTCAGTTGCTAGCAAGTGCTCTTACAAAGTTAATTTTCAACGGTGAAGGGGGGAAAAACTTGTCTAATGAAATTAGTTCATATTTCTGTGCTGCAACAGGAAAAGTCAATGAAAATAAAACACGGGTACTTGCCTAAATAGGGAAAGTATTTCTGTATGAAACTCCATCATATGATACCTGTACTTTATTGCCTGACTGGTCTTACGTAATCGTTTAAGATCTGGTTGTAACTTAAGGTTGCACAACTATTTTGCCTTTCATGTTTTGCAGACTTGGGATGCAGCTTTGGCAAGGACTGCAAGGGCATGGGCAAATAAATGCGTTTTTGAACATAACCAATACTTAAGTAAGAAACATCAGTGCCATCCTAATTTCACATCTGTTGGAGAGAATATTTGGGTTGGAAGTCATCAAGCATTCTATGTTGCTGATGCCATTAAAACGTGGTATGATGAGGTCAGATTCTATATTTTCGCAGGACAGAAATGTACTAAGGTTTGCGGTCATTACATTCAGGTAAGAGTTCTCTTCGGTAAAATACCCTGTATAGTGCCTACCAGATGAATCAGTAGGGACTGTAAATAATGCAGAGTTGTATATATGGTTTGCAGTGACTGACAGTTTACTATCTTTTGTAACCAGCTGTTGCTGCTGGTTACCCCTGCACTGATTCACCTCTTTGTCTCATATAATAATCCATTCTTCTCGTCCACAATATTGGCCTCACTGAAAGCCTTGCTGCTTGTTTCGTTGTATCAGTACTACATGAACTTTATAAAAATTCTGAAACAATCATTTCAAGTTTTCTAGTTGCAAAGCCACACAGTTCTGAATTCTGTAAGTTTGGAGATGCTGTTTGAAATAATCACAGTAATTGCAGAACATCTGTGGGTGCTCCTTAGTAGAAATGTTAACAGAAGGAGAAGGTCCAGCCCAAGTAAATTGTATTCTTTACAAATCTTGTAAAAAAGGGGGGGAAAAAGAGCATCAACAACAACAGAGGCATTTTTTATGATATATTTCTGATTTCTCAGTGGTAATTCTGACAAACTTAATTCTGCTGAGAAAGTAAAGCTTTTCTTTGAACACTTAATATTTTAAATGGTTTTATTCATTCCCATGTTTAAAAAAATAAGCTTTGCAGTAGAATTAGTTTCACCTATGAGCAAGCACATAATATTTCACTGATCCAAAACAGATGATAATTTTATGTCAAGTAGATCTTATCTAGTAAAAGTGACTCTTTACTTCCTGATCTCAGTATTCAAAGATGCTTAGACTGCTTTCTGTGAAAATTACAGATGCAGATACTGTGCAGTATACTTAGAGTGAAACTGTTACCAGACACAAAGGTAGCTGCGAGGTTCTTTTTGAGTAGACTTGGATTGTGAAATGAAAATACTTGAAGTTACCAGAATAATTTTCAGAATATTTTCTGTTTGGGTCTTTTTGCACCTCTTTTTCTGTCCTTTTTCACTTATTTCCCCTCAAGTGTTAATTCTTGTTTCCTGCCCCTGGTTTTGCCTGTAACAAACTCTAAAGCAAGGCTAGTGGATTTAAGTTTTACTGTTTATTGGGCAGTAAATCTTTAGAAGATGAGAAGTGGAAAATATTTTGGGAAAATATTTTTCATTTGTTTCTCTGTTACAATAAATTATAAAAAGTTACATAGCAAGGTAGTTCTAGCATTTTAAAATTTGTTGTTCAACCTTGTCTACATAGAATTCTGGAGGTGTTTGCACATTTTTCTTGGAGTGAGCTTTCTTTCCCCTGAGTAATATTGCTATCTCCTTTCTTGTTACACATAGTTAAGTTATATCAAAATGTTCATGCATTTCAGACAGTATTTCAGGCAGAATTACAAAGAAGACTAATGTCCAGAGAAAAACAAGCAGAATACCTGAGTTAAACACCAATGAACATGTAAAAGTACATAATGTGATCAAAATTGATAAAGACCATGCATGATCCAGGAGCCATGATGGTCTTGAAAGCTCAGACACAAAATTGAAAATGGGTAAAACTTAAAAATCATAAATGGATAGGCTGGGTAGACCTACTAAGAGAACCACGACAGAGAAATCTCAAAAAAATATATGAAGTTGTTTACATAAAGGCCCCTGAAATGCTTAGTACTTAATCCAGGATTCAGGTAACATGTTGACATAACTGCTTCTTGCAGTTATAATTGACGAGATGGAACTTTTGGGGATGTTGAAATCAGTTATCAGTCCAAGGCCTGTACTCTTCATACTGGGGAGATACAGAGAGTAATCCACCATGTCTTTTAAGTTTTCCAGAAGTGGAATGTATGACCATTGAGATGTTCTAGGTATGTAGTGCAACATTTTTACCTGAATTCAGTGCAGTTCAGTTAGTCATGTGCAGAAGGTATAGGAAGAATCTCCCAAGAAAAAGCAGATGCCCAAACTGTAAGTGATAGTAAACCATATTCTCTTAAGTGTGGCAGATAACACTCATTAGTCTGAAAATGTGCCATGCTCAGGCTTTCAAACTTAAGTTTGCAGTAATAATCAGCCAGACCACTTCTAGCACACAGGAGAAGCCCTTCTTGCAGACCTGAGTTATGAATGTTGAAATTCATTAAAGGAACTGTTGGATAGTTGCCACTAATATCCCTTTTGTTCCACGGAATCTACCCCTCGATTATAAAGTCAATGAGTCTTAATGAAATTGTTCTGTAGAAGATTCTGGTAACTTGTAGCATAGGTCACTTCATCTTGAGGGGCGAATATTTGTAAGTTCGTCTTAAAAGGCTTGCTTACCAGTTATTTTTAAAATGCATGAAAAGATCAGATGTTGCAAAATGAAAATAATATGTAGGATCTCTGAAAATAATGGAAACTTTCTAGGTATTAGTCTAAGTTACTTGGAGTATAGTTTTTAATTTATTTTAAAACCTGGGGTTTTTTTAGGTTGTTTGGGACTATTCATATAAAGTAGGCTGTGCTGTTACTCTGTGTAAGGAAGTTGCAGGAATACGAAATGCAGCAAATTTTGTTTGCAACTATTCACCAAGGTAAGTTGCTGATTTAAATGTTAAAAGAAAAAAAAAAAGGCAAGTAATTGTAATGACATTTAGCTGAAAGGAGATTGGGTTATTTATTTATTGGTAGTCCTGTAAATGCAATCGGAGAAAACAGTGATTGCCCAGTTCAGTTATCAAGAGAGCCATGAGCATTTGAACATGTGCTTAGTTTTTTAATCAGTTAACTTTACTGATAAATCTCATTTTGGGCCAGTCTTAAGCAAACTAAACCCAAACGTAGCTCATGGTCCACTTCATTGATTTCTTTTTCATATGAAACAGAAGAAATGAGAAACTTGCTGCAGGCAGCTGCTGCCAGAGCTGGAATTACGTCTTGCAGTTTTATACATTTTTTTAATTGCACTTCAGCTTTTTACACTATTTTTTTTTTTCCTGAGATATGTTAGAAATAATAGCAGAGTTGTTAGATCAGTTGCTTTTCCTTCTGTGTAACTGAGTAAAATAAAATTACATTATCATTTCTTGTCTATTTAATAGCTGTGATTATACCAAATGTTATTTAAGCATTAGAAAACTGTAAATGATCAATGCAAGAAAAAGCTAACTGCAACATGTGACTTTACATTTGAATTGATACTCTGAAAAAACATAGGCCCCAGCCAGTGCTGTTCCTAAAGCAGGAGGAATTTGAAATCAGAGAGACAGATGGATTTAAAATAATATATTTTGTCTCATAATAATGCACAGTCTGTCATCAAGGACATGCACATTCGGTCTGTTTGTCATTTTAAAAACATACATAACTTGTGAGTTTGCATGACAACTGTTTCTTCTTTTTCTTCCAGCAAACTTGGGCCAGTATTGGGGAGTTCAATTAGCCTGAACTAAAAACCCCATTGAGCCCTGCCCATCTCTCTTCCTGTACCACAAAACTGGACTTGTACTTGAATTGTTATTTTGAAACTTGCTGGGGTATGGAACTTTGTTGTTTTCTTTTATAAAATCTGAACTAAAATGTTTCCAGTTGCCAGTGCAGAATAATGACTAATTGACATCAACAGTGGCCTGTAAAGCCTTGTCCCTTGAGACTTTTCTAATTTGTAACAACATAACTTGTTGGTTTGCTGTGCTGTTCTGCACATCCTGGAGAACTGAGAGCTAAGCTGAATAGCTGTCTAAGATGAGGTCTTTGTTCTTCTGTCCACTGCTTGATACCAAGAACGCTGATTTTCTATGTCACCACAGAAACAAGTGGCATTAGAGCAGACAGATCATGTCCTAACAGCCTTTTCCCTTCCCTTAGGAAGGGAATTTAAGGTAAATTAGGTAGGTTTTTGGAATTTACCTATTTTTTTTTATTCCACAGTACTTAGGAATGAACCCTGTCCTATTACCATTCTCGAACTCAAATTTAGCTGCCACATCCTTGCTAGCAGGCTCTGTTTGCTGTGCTGTTCTCATCTCTTCTACCTACCACCTTCTTGGCAGGTGAATCTTCATATATTATGTCCAAGAAACCTTTAGCTCTAAGCGGAGTCTCAAGATGTTCCTTAGTATTCTGTTTGAAGGGTAGCAGAATCTTAGAAATTCCCTTGAAAGGGTCTTGTAGGATGTCACATAGCTTACTGGACATTCTTAACCATCCTAGAGAGCTTTCCCAACTAGTCATTTTCTTTCATCTACTTGTTTTCATTTACCTATTTTCTATTTTAGCTATTCATTTTATGCATCATAGGCAAAAAGTCCAAACTAGAAAAACTGAATGCTTTCTCACATCTCACTCTCATTTCTGGTAATAGTGGTTAAAGACAACAAGTATAAACAACCTGGTGAATCCTGAAGGGAAGACTAGATAGGTACTGTGGTGGTTTGTCACTTTAAGAGATACTGTATCAGTTGCAACTACCAAATTACAAAGTGTTGTATGCATTATGTGAATACAGGGTGCTGTGACATTTACATCATGTTAGAAAACTCCTGACATCTGATAGTTTCTGGAGTCTTCATGGCACTGCTGGGTGAAGCCAAGCTATCAATCTGAACTGGATTCAGTGGATCCAGTGAATCGCTGGTGTCTCGGGTTGAATGCTAGCGTTGTTTTTTAGGTAGCAGTTAGAGTTTGCACTCACCAGCCCCATGGAGACATACCAGAAGACCTCTGTTTGAGAATTTCAGCTTGTTCCAAAATTAATCAATATTCAAATATTTATGATGCTCAAGTCATTTTGAAATCACGTAGTTTCCACTCTATACCATGAAGGAAGTCTGCGTTGAGACACTTAGAAATGCCTTCTTAAACATTAGAATGTGGCAGCTCTGCTTCCTATCCTAAACCCTTTTCTAATTATTTTCTTTTCATGTTTTAAGTTTGTTCGTTTATCTGTCTTTCACAGGAGCAGACAGTGATGAATCAGACATCAACTTCTAGGGAAGCTAGTTTAATGCATGCAAATCAGATATCCCAGCTGAAAGTTTTCATCTTCATGCTCGATTTTCTCTCACACCTTTGGAAATTGTGTATCAAAATTAACAGGATGACTATATTACAAGGTGTTTAGAAATACCAAATACTATCGCAGATAGATGGACTGTAGATGTCATTGAAAAGATTTATTCAGTTCAGTTTATAATGTTGCTCTGATTTGTGCTTCTGTGTTACTGCTCTTTAGGAACCTTTATCTTAAGTCTACTTTAGCAGAAAAGGAAACCTGTCCTGGTTTTGGAACTCTAAGTTACCACTTATTTTAGAGCACAGGACTTTATAACTGCTTTCTGTTGTGAGTTGATGGGAACACATTCAGATCTGGTAGAATTAGAACAGCTGTATTTACAGTTTCAGAGTAGGATTTGTCGTGGTTGAGGTTATCCCAACAGTGTTAAAAACAATAAGATGCCTTTTAACAGCAGGATACCTTCTTTCGTATTCCTATCAGTCTCACAGGTAGTACCTGTATTTTGTGAGTTTTAAGTGCTGTCAATCCAAATACTGTCTATTCACTTTTTCACATCAAAAGAGGATTCATTGAGCTCCTGGGTATTAGCAGGGAGAGGGCATCCCTATTTTCCTGTTGGGTAGATGATGACGTCCTCAGAACAAGATACGTGCCATGGCTTTGAATCACAGAATCACAGAAACACTAGG